CTATGATAGGAATGGACGAACCTGATCCAATAATTTCATTAAACTCCAGCTCAGACAGCTGAAGGTGGAAATGAGACGGGAGGCTGGCCCTGAGCACGAGGACTTCTGCTTTCTCTGCAAAGACAGTTTAAAGCATCCTTTGATTATCACTTTAATTTTTTTTAAAGCATAGCATAGCGACATCTGACTATATATGAGTTAAATATGTTTCAGGGGAGTTGCCCAAATACTCTATAGTGAAAATATTGTGTTGCCTTAAAGCTGTTTTGAGGCTTTTAGGCAAAAACTCTGCAAGTGTTAGTGATGCTACATCTTGTCTTATATAAGAGGATGTGCGTGCTAGATTCGGTGCATTCTTTAAGCCAATTAGCATAATTATTTTGCACATTTTGCACAACGTTTGGCATTTACATGGTTTAGCCCTGTGTTTTTTTATCCTTCATATCAGTAGTTTCTCAGATATTATGCCAGAAACAGATTTCTTGTTCACACCAACCCCCAGTTTCACAGGAAAACACAGCAGCCAAGTGTTCTCCTGAGCAGCTAAGCCCCTTCCCTTGACAACAGGCTCAGTGTGTGCTGTCACGTCAGCTGACAGAAATCCGCCGCGCTTCACTCCAGCTCACTACCTTTAGTCATGCTTTTGATCTTTCCGAGAGGAGACGGGACGGAAACGTAGGACCCATCTGGAAGAGACGCACATTCAGACATGTTAAAAGGTGATTTTATTCCAGTTAATAATTTCCTAGAGGAGTGACTCACCCCCTCCTGGCTGGGAGTACTCATTGCAGGGGGAGTCATCCGGGCGCTTGTAGTGTTTCAGTAAGGTGACGATGGCATCATGACCTGGGGAACAGCAGGTTTTAACTTGATCGTCTCTGAAAGCTAAACTCGTACTCGCTCAAACACACCTTTCTCATAAGCCCACATGAGGCACGTCTGCTCCTCTTTCTCACCGCTGGACCTGCTCGGGTCGCAGGCCACGAGGTTCATGTCTGCGCCGCTGTCCAGCAAGAACTGCACCAGGCGGATGTGGCCGTGGAAACAGGCGCTGTGCAGAGCTAAGCAGGGTTTAAGTTAGCACAAAAAAAACCCCAGAGGTGTTATGTTTTAAAGAGTGTAAAGAGTCACCTGTGTGTCCATCTCTGCCCTGATGGTTGATGCTCATAGTGTTCTGGCTCAGCAGGAACTTCACCATCTCCAGGTCTTTGCCGTAGGTACATGCACTGTGATGTAAACATTCAATATCTTATCAAGTGACAATACTGATATATGCATCCATGCAGATTACAAATACACCAAGAAAATACCTGTGAAGTGCCGTTTCACTGAATATGTTCTCCTTCGAAAGGCTTTCTGTGCCAGAAAACTGTATTATCTCCTTCACTGCTGCGAATTTGCCGTTATAGCAGGCCCTGATGGAACACAGCACTCATTACATTGACCTCACATCATCTGTTAAACACCTACAGAGGAGGACGTCTGACACTGTAAAGCATTTACAGGTGTAGCGGTGTGTCGCCGTAGATGTTGACGGAGTGAGGCTGCACGTCGGAGCTGCTCTGCAGGAGGAAACGGACGACCTCGTGGTGACCGAAGCGGGCGCAGAAGTGGAGAGGGACGTGGTCTTCGTTGTCCTGGGCGTTCACTGGTGAGAAGAGGGCGAGAAAGTTCTACAATCATTCCTGCAGTAATCACAAGTCAATTAGCTTCCGTGTGGCTCCTGAACGAGGAGATTAGCAGGTTTAGATGTCAAGTATTTGGATCATTTGGCCTCAATTCACCGAATGCCTCATGCCTGATCACCTTCAATTCAACAGATTTTTTTTCATTGCAGTGATGAATATTGATGGAGCTGATCATGTGTAGAATCTGGGGTTATAGGTAGCATTAGATTTTGAGTTAAAAGGTGGGATCATACAGATTTTTGCACCGTTTTTTTATTTTGCGCCAGTCTGTGGAGCAACGTTTGAAGCAGCCTAACTTTTTTAAAGTTATTTATTTGGCCTTTTTGCCTTTATTATATAGGACAGTCAAAGCAGAGACAGGAAAGTGAGGGAGTAGAATGGGGGAAGGGGTTGCAGCAAAGGGCCATGAGCAGGATTCAGACCCATGGCCGCTGCATCAGAGACTATAGCTCCTGAACATGGGTCGCCAGCTCAACCAGGTGAGCTAAAGCGGCGGCCCGAAGTAGCGTAACTTGAGAAATAATGCAGCTAGAGTCCTGAAGTTTTGCAGACTCATTGATGTGTACATAAGATGTTCAATGTTTTAATGGGATAATATAAACCAGCTATATGATGGTGCAAATTTGGTCCAAAAAGTCCAAGTTTTTTTTCTGTTCTATTCTGACATTCTACCAACCATCCACACCTACGGACAATTTAGAATCACCAGTTAACCTCAACATGTTTTTGGACTGTGGGAGAAAGCCGGAGAACCCGGAGAGAACCCACGCTGCACGGAGACAACATGCAAACTACACGCAGAAAGATCCCGGGTGTCCTAACCGGGTCATGAACTAGGGATCTTCAAGCTGAGAGGCGACGATGCTAACCACCGATGCACCTTGCACCCCTCCACCAACCATATAAACTTTATTTTCACCCTAAGAGGCTGATTTTTTTCTCCTGTGATTGGCACCAATAGGAGGTTTAAAATATAGAGTATGGTGTCAGTCAACCTACAAAATTTCTGGACTCTAGCTTATTTCTCATGTTATGGCACTTCAGACATTGCTCCACAGCTTGGCACGAAGAAAACAGAATCAACATGACCCCACCTCTGTTTGAGAATTTCAAGTCTAAAACTAATGTTACCCCAGATTTTACACATTTTATTTAATAACATACGTATACACAGAAAAGAAACCTAAACAACATGACATGGAGTGAACTTGTTTTTAAATTTGGTGAAGTGAGTTTGAATGACCTATTTAACCTCGTCTTGGACTATTAACTCAAGTGAACCTTAACTAAATGCAGGAAAGCCCTCCTGGAGTCTCTGGTCTCACCGTTAGCTTTGCTCCCATCAGCCATCAGCAGTTTGATGATACCTAGCAGACCTTTGGCTGCAGCCAGGTGCAGAGGCCGATCACCCACCTCACCACTCGCATTCACATCTGCCCCAAACTTCAGCAGCAGCTTCGCCAGCTAAAGGACAAAAAGAAGCATCAGATCAAGTTTATTTCTATCAGTCAAGACCAGCAGCACGAGCAATTTACCTGCTCTTGGCCGTTGTAGGAAGCAATGTGCAGCGGGGTGAAGAACACAGCATCCTGGACGTTGACATAAGCCCCGTGCTGCAGGAGAATATCTGCAGCCTGGTGGGAGGAAATAAGAAAACATCAATGTGCAAAAAAAAAACCCAGCATGACTCACTGCTGCTGGTAACTTTTCTCTCACCTCGTGATGCCCGGCCAGCGTGGCGACATGCAGGGCAGTGAGGGCTCCGTATCCCACCTGCTGCACATCCGAGCCACCGTGCAGGAGAGCAGTCACCAGCTCAGCGTTGTCCTGCGGCGCGTAAACAAAACAAGAACAACATCCACACATCCCGGGGTTTTAATATCTAACTCACGCCAGCTTCGTCCTGGCAGGCCGTGATTGCGCTGCAGCAGCATCACAATTAAGTAATTTAAGCATGCAGCCAAAACCAGCACACCGGCTTTGTGCGTACTTGCACTCCACCATGTGGTAAAACTTTAGAAAGCTCTAGATGACAAGTAACACAAGAGAGACAATGGCCTCTGCACAGAAGTACATGTAGAAATCAGTGTGCTGCTTCACCTTGTAAGCTGCCAGGTGGAGAGCAGTGAATCCATTTCTGGTCAGTCTGGAAGGACGCAGGCCTTTGAGCATCAAGGCGCGCATGTGGGCCTTGTTCCCTGGATACCAATAAGTCAAATATAAGATATTTCAGGCAACAAAACCTTATGAATCAAATAAGGAAACTTCTGTTGCAACTTTCTATAATAATATGTATTTCAATTCTACAACTTCCTCTTGTGTGCAGTCAACACCAGAGAGGTCACACGGACAATAACATCACTCAGTCCCCGGTAATCCTTCCCTCCGCTGCCACATTTTGTTGAGGAGTTATTAATAGACCCTGGCAGTCATGCATACCTCCACACACGCAGCAGAGGTGCAGCAGCGACAGCCCCTTCTCCGTTCGGTAGCTCACGTTCACCTTCTGGAAAGCCTCTTCAGAGCTGAGCCACAGAAAAATCAACACAAGCCCACGGACACAGAGGAGTGATCAAAGGGAGCAGAGGAACAGCCCTCGGTCAGGTTAAATGTAGTTTCGTGCAATGACTCGTGAAGTGTTTGTCACCTGAAAGCGAGTTTGAGATCCGCCAGCTCGCTGTCTTTAAGCTGGAAGTCATCCTCCAGCTTGTCCACGATCACCGAGTACGATTCTCCCACTTTCTTCTTCCACTCATCTTCACAACATCGGGGTCAAACATTAGAACAACTCAGTGACGGATTTACATTCCTTATCACTAGCTACCAGCAGAAACAGTTCATGATTTACTTAATATTATTTAAAATAGTCAATAAATTACTGAAACCTTTGTCTAAATTTGATAAAAACATCTGTATTACATTGTACTGAAGCACTGAAACAACAGTTTTAACTCTATTCAGGACTTTTGGCGTCTTTTGGACTCCAGGTCATTTGGTTTAGGTGACAGGTATGGTTTATTTATTTTATATATAAAAAGAAGGACATTTGTCATGAATTTGGAACCAAAAATGCATCAACTTGTCAGACACAGTATAAAAGTGGCTGCAAGGTGGNGAATCAACATGACCCCACCTCTGTTTGAGAATTTCAAGTCTAAAACTAATGTTACCCCAGATTTTACACATTTTATTTAATGACATACATATGCAAAGAAAAGAAACCTAAATGTAACCCAGGTTACAAACCCTCACAATAAATAGAATTTAAATAACAATAAATAAATGAAGTTCATGACAATTCATATTTTATGTAATCTTTATTTTAAAAACTGTTAAAAACACATTGTGTGGTTAAAAAAGGTTAAAAAATTTGATGCAATGCTCCTTTAGTTAGCCATTCCCTTCCCCCCCCCTGCAAGTGCAGGTGCGCGGAAGAAAAGAAAAAACACAGACGACAGACGGCAGACGAAGAAGTAGCTAGGGAGCGGAGCTAGCAAAGAGACTTTATTGTCATATTTTTGATGAATATAAGCAAGATTTTCCAACCGAAGCTGATTCCTGATACTATCAAGACACTCTGCACATAAGCTAAGACGGTTTTGGTGAGTTTTATGTTGTTTATATCGTGTTTTGCAAAGCATTTGCCGACGAGTCGATAAGCTAACTAAGCCTCGTTTTCACCAATAAACGGGTATAAAACCTAACTCTTTGAGCCAATAACTTTATTTTGACCAAATGTTATGTTGCTAAATGCAATTGTATTTTGTTTTTATGATGATTTGATGACATACTTCACGTAAAGATGCACTTTATTGCCATGTATGGAAGTTTACGGCGCATAGCTAAGCCGCCGCCTCCTTGAGTTAACAAGTCAGATTTTATTTTTCCTTGCTTAAGGTAATTTTATGTTACTGTATTTAAGTTATATGGACTTTTTCTGCATGGCCTGTCGTGCAGGCCAGGTTTTTTTTGATCGCTGGGAGAACTCCGGGCGCACGCGGACGGCTGGGCCTAGGATCCTGCGTGGGTGTGTGTGTGCGCGGCTGCGGCAGACGGCGCGCGCTTGGACATCGGATGGCGAGCCTAACCCATGGAATTCTTACCTACGGAAGCTGAAAGGTTACAAAGCAACTGGATTGTCAACAATACGGTCAGACTTTTGCCCTGTGACACGTCTTCATTCGCTCTACCAGTGGATAGTCGTTGATTTCTTTCTTCGGATCGAGTTTGAACTGAACTGATTGAACTGAACTGATTGAACTGAACTGATTGAACTGAACTGATCGAACTGAACTGAATACAGAATTGAACTGAATTTGATTGATAACCTGATAGGATATAATGCTGTTTTATGTTCTTATGTCATGTTATTGAATTGTTGAGGTAAGTGTTAAAGCCTAATAGTGGATATTAGGCTTTCCCATATGCAATTTTGGGAAAAAAACTCAGAGGTGTTCACACGAGGTTTTGTGAAACATTACCATTGTTTTGAAGTGAATAGAAACTTAACAAGTGAACTTAGTGAAACCTTACCATTGATCAAAAGAGAAACTTAACGGATGAACTCAAAGGTTTAAATACTGAACCAACATTGCTAAAATCCCAAAGTTAACAAAAAGGACCGGTCTTAAATAGGAATCCTCATTTGAAACTTAATATAAAAATTAGGTTTAAAGCAACAAATACCAAACCTTATTTTGAACTTAAAGGTTATAAACAAAGGGTTAAGTGTGGAAAAAACTTGACATTGGTGTGAATGTGTACTGTATATGTGTGTGTCTATGTTATTAAATTGCCGGCTTTAAGTTGAAGGATTTTTAGGTCTGGTCTCTTGATTTTAATTACACTACCACTCCTCCGAACCTAGAACTGGTCCAGTAGCTCCAAATTTCCTGTGTTACAGCGACATAAGTGCTACATAAACAATATGACATGGAGTGAACTTTTTTTAATCTGGTGAAGTGAGTTTGAATGACCCATTTAACCTCATTTTAGACGATTAACTCAAGTGAACCTTAACTAAATGCAGGAAAGCCCTCCTGGAGTCTCTGGTCTCACCGTTAGCTTTGCTCCCATCAGCCATCAGCAGTTTG